GTTTTGAAGAACGCAGTGGCAACTTGCTTGGTGTGATAGCTATATTTTTGCTAACTCGTTGATAAATACGTTCTTAATCAGTTTTAAACCGTTTGCAATTAGGTCAACCTCGTTCTCAATACGTCCCCAGACAGTTCAACTCGTTGTAAAAACGTCCCTAGTAGGATTGAAGTACGACGGTTCCGTTCGTAGTACGTCCAGCTCGTCGTTAATAGGTTGTCACTCGTTCTAATTGTAGAACGTGACGACCAAGAGAACATTTTGAGCATGTTCTAAGTTCTAGAGGACATACCCGTTCGAGTACGTCCGATGAAGTTTGTAAATAGACCCCAAACTGTTCTAAGTACGTCCAGTCTGTTCGTACACAGTTGAAGCCTGTTTTCGAGAACGTAGTGAGAACTAGTTTGGTGTAATAGTAGGATTAACAGAAATTCAAACATAGAGAGGCTTTAACACGTAGTTCAATGTGGGAGCTAAGGCTGCCAAACTTTTGGAGGGGAGTGTTATGTATAAAGCAGTAAAGATCAGGATGAAGACGTTCACTTGATACGCAATTATTTCTGGAATATTCTACTATTTCTATCAATCACAAAAATTAAAGGTCACCATGACTGCATAGAAAAAGAATTGAACAAATTAATTAGATTAATGAGAATCACTTTGTCAATTCGACGAGAGCTTCGGGAGTGGATACTGAATAAAGATTACAAAAAGGAGTAAGCTGTTTAAAACTAAAATGCCTAAACTACGTATTATATGACAGTGGAGGGGCATTTTTTAAAAAATTGTTGACATGGGGTCCCTATTCTTAAATTTTCGAATTGTTCGATTGATGTTTTTATCATCATGGGTACTTTACTTGAAAGAAACGTATTGATTTAATAAAAAAATCAGTTACGCCCAGACTGTCTAAAATCACTTGCCATGCTGCACATGGACCTTTTATAAAATTTATAAAATTGCTTTTTTATTTTTGAGGGTGCGGAGTGCGATCGCATCCATCGCACCCCCTCCCCCCCTGGCTAAACTATGGTGGTATCGTGAGATTGATAAAAAATATTTGATTTCAAAATATTGTTCTGTTCTTTCGGATTAAATCATTCATCAAGTACAGCTAATATACAGGGTGTCAAATAAATCCCGCCACCTCCCTTAACAGCCAAAACAGCTAATATACAGGGTGTCAAAAAAACCTCAACAGCCAAAACCAAGATATATGGTACCAAGTGTGATATATCATTTGAAATGTCTTCCAAACTTTACGTTGATTGGCGTATATCCGACATGTCAATCTCAAATTTTTTTATAAATAATTGATTTATCAATTGAGGTGACCATAGGCCAAGAAACATGGCAATTTGGCGTATTTCGTAGGATTTTAAGAATCGGGTATAAGAAAGTCAAAGGACCGAAAGATGACAACATATCTTGTGGCAATGAATTAAACCAATTTTTGGATAGGGTTAAATGTGTAAAAAATAGAAGTGCAAGGAAAGTGATGAAAACCTTTTTGTAACAAGTGGAAAGCGAAAAAGGTTAACTTTTTGACATATTTTTGAGGTCATATCCTTCTCATTTTGATGCAATAAAAGCTACAAGGGTACACTAAAGGACATCATGAAAGTATAGGTGAATTTCATTCAAAATACTTGAGCGTTGGTGAGTGCACAAACCTTTGGATGATCTTTCTAATGGTATATCACACTATATCACATCATGTATTAAGGTTTAGCCGAGGGGTGGGACTTATTTGACACCCTGTAATAACACTTTAATTTCTAAATTGAATCTGCAAGAAGGATCGGGTATTCAGGGGTAACGTATTATGTTTCATAAAATGGAAATGAAGTGTGAATTATTGTATCGTTTTTTGCTGTGTCATACCAACTAATACAATTAAGTAAGGCACAAAAACAAATGCATTTCCATGGTACTGTAAGATCACGGCATGAAATTTCTAGGACGTCTGAAGAAGCTGGTCGCACAGTATAGCTAAGCACACCTATATGACCTAATAGGTCAAACATTAATGTCAACTTTCATGAATAAAAAAATGGTAAAGCCCATGTTAATCATGGGAAATGGTAGGTTAGTTGCAAATCAGATTTTTGGATATCTATTCACTAAAACATTTATTAAAAATAATTTCCGAGTAGAAAATTGAATTGTTTTACTTTCTGCATGCTAAGTGTTTTAGGCTGTGTTTCCTAAAACTAAAACTCGATGCGCATCTCGTGCAAATTTTGGAAAGCAACAGCTTCAAGGAATGGTCATTCCACATGACACTGAGTCTGGGGCTTAAAATTCATCATATATAAGTGGAATTGATCGTGACGATGGGAGATTATTCCCCATCTTGGCCATCATGATAAACCATGACATCTCATTTCTTCTCAGCCCTGAGTTATGGGTGAAACAGAAAGATGCTATGAGTATCAGAATGCATCTTGGTTGACAACAAGAAATGGTTCACTAAATCACCCACAATTCATTTGTGCTTAATAATTTTCACCCAAAGCAAAATATTTTGAAAATGCATCCTGATTGGCCAGAAAGTGACATACAATTCATTTTTGTATGAATAAACAACAATGACCAATGAAATGCCTAAATTTCAATGCTAGTTAGTTGAGAAATGTTATAATTTTATGTCATTAACTTGCAACTGTGACAGCTGCCTGCACAATTAAAGATATGCAAACATGGAAAAAAGAAAATCATTTTTTCCGTGCATCTGTCACTCTTTACCAATTAACACAAGCAATAAATGGGAGTTGGTTAAACAGCACAGAGTTTATCAAGGATATATATGAAAATCAATTAAGTTGAAAAACAAAACTCTGAAGATGACTTTTTATCAATTCAATTGATTATTGTCATTACTACAACTTATTCAATTTCGTATTCAGTATTCGAAGAAGTGAAAACTTTTAAATATGCGGAAAGCCGCAGACAAACGGACAAAGACAATGTCTGACTAGTGTACGACTAGCTAAAACCCGAGGCTCATTATTTATTACGAAAACGCTCCGCTTTCGAAAGCTCTTAGGTATTCTTCCTGCCACGAAGTGTGAGAAGATGCGCAGTTAGCGTATTAAGATCGAATAGTACACATCCCAGATGCGTTATCGGACGTCTTACTGTTACATACAGTCGCATACAGTAGCATCTTTTCAGATGGAAATGTTTCATTGGTGTTATTCTAGTATTCTAGCAACGCAAAAAGTCACATGTTATGAGAATGAAATTTGATTTGCTGGAACAATATGACCACGATCTAAATCAAAGTTTTATTAAGTGTAGCGATATCAGCTAATCAATAGAAACAAGACAAAATACCCCTAGATCAAACTAACCAACAGCAATATAATGATTGTAAATCCTTTTAATGAAAGTACAGGGTGTCAAATGGCGTTGTGCCCCTCCCCCTTCCACAGCAAAAACTATAAGTACCTATGCATTCTGAATGTCATTGGAAAGAGCATTAAATTGTGGATGACCAAGGTCAGTTGTTGCTACATACAGCAGTTTCACATGCATTTGAAATGTACTCGTATAGTGCTCTTTTTTATTGATTTTAAAGAATTCCTGCATAGACTTTTTGGTATGGATGAATACCCGAGCAATTACTCCGACTTGACCGTTGCAGAGCACATAGAGTTCATATTAATGGATAAAACAGAGCAACTTATGGTATATAAATCGAACATCAAAAAGGTATTGAGATCTCTTGAGAAAGACACTGCTCTTTTCCACGTCCCTTTAACTTTAAATCCAGCCAGACTTGCAGCCTTAAATGGCACTCCTAACCATCGACAACGTACAGTGACAAAATATACGGTTGTACACTTTAGTTATACGTTGTCATGTTTGAAACAAAAACTGCGATGCAGGTTTTAAAAGATTTAGCTAAGAAATATAAAGTCGTATTTCATGTTTAATTTCATGTGCATGTGCAATTTTTTCTAGGTGCCAACCTACATCACAATTTTTGCTTCTAGCAGCTAAATTATACACCCGTATATTTTGTCACTGTACGTTGTCGATGGTTAGGCGTGTAAGATAACTTTTAAAAGTTAGTTCAAATCATGTCTTATTTTCTGTGATGCATCTTCATCTTTTCACACGTTAACAACAATTAAATGCTCTTTCCAACCGTATATAGTATGTGTGTGTACCTCTCCTAGTTAATACTGTGGATGGGGGACACAACGCTATTTGACACCCTGTAGTATATATCGCGACATTTGACTCCAAATGTTAACGACCCATGCATGATGGACAGTTTAGTATTTCGGCCAATCACCGACAGACCATGCTTTCCGTGGACTGTTTTTCCATTGACAATACATTCCGATGATGCGGCCCTACACGGACAATTCGTTCTAACTGTTTTCTTGGGATGTTGTTTTTTAGAATACTCTTGGATTTCCGCATTGATCTACCGGTTCGTGGTTTGCAAGTTTATTTGCTGTTCTCTACATGATAAACGGTTTTTTAATCCTACCAAACATTAGAGATGAATCTAACAGTGTTACTAATATGTATCATCCCAGAACATTACATTATACTTTCAATGGCCTTTCAAATATCTCATTCATCACTGAACATCAGAATATGTACAGTTGGCTGGATTATCGTAGTTCTGACAGGCTGCTATGTAGCATTCAGCTTATTATTCATTTCGAATGTTTCGAGTTTGTAACAGCAAGGGGAAGAAAATTACTGTAAGCGAAACGCCCGTGTGATTACTAGAATATAGTAAAAATCACAAAAAGACTACACTTCACATAATATTTTAATTTATCACAACTTTCCTAGCCTAAAATACTAACCGCGTGGCTTGTTTAATTTAGTCTCTGTTTAGATATTGAGTTCAGGAGATTTACATTAACGACATGTCCAGGAACATTTAAAAAAGATATCAAACCATCTGGCTACATCGTCATATAAAGTCATATAATGGCTGCTTGCTTTATTAGCAACAGCTTTTTCATTTCACAAGGTATGTTGTCATTTCAAATTATAAAAAAATATAATGGTAATTTAGATTGAATTGCAGAGAATTGTGTAATTGAAAAATAAGAATTGAACGTTATCAATTGGAAGATGTCTATATCGACAACTAACTTAAATAAATACATTGTATGAGGCAAAAAGAAAGGAAAGTAGGCGTTCAATCTAATTAGCTCAGGTCGCATCAAGGAACGCTCAAGAAGAATTGAATAAAGCTGAAAGATTAATTTGTTAGTAAAAGAAAAACTTGGAGAAAAGAGGATTAAAGACATAAAAATGATGCTTCATAGAATCTCTGGCATTAGGCTGAAGTATTGATGTAGATTTAATAAGGTATCTGGAAGAGATAAGACAAAGTACAATATGTTGATTGTGCAAGATTGTGCTATTCTACTTCAAAGAGAGAACACACAGGTAAGGATTATTTCTTATACTTTACATACAAATTATCAATAATATAATAGAAGTATTCGAGTTATTTCAAATATGTGTCAATTATATGTCATAAAATACACGCCTGGATGCACATTTTTGTCATTATAGATCTTACTAGAGGATTTATGATAATTCGCTTGTGTGTTACCTAAACACATACATACTCATAGCATAGCTTATAAAAGATTTCCAATATCACTGGTGATCCACTCGATTACGCTGGTTTCGGTAACAAAATAGTGTCGGAACATCGAAGGTACGATTTTTCCCTTTTCCTTATTTCACACGTTGTAGGCAGAATTCCCACGACATTTTTTATCACAAACGTGTACTTGTATCAGTATCATATGTTTTAGAAAATGTACATATTTGCGAACAAATAGTTCAGAAGACAAAAAGTTAAGATCTGCACTTTTAACCCATACCGTTTAGACTATGTAACTTAATTCTGAGCTGTTTTTTCGCAAACATGTACATTTTCTAAAACATATGATACTGATACACGTTTGTGTCGTTTGTGAGAAAAAATGCCGTGGGGATTCTGCCTACAACGCGTGAAATAAGGAAAAAAGAAAAATCGTACCTTCGACGTTCCGACATTTTGTTACCGAAACGGTAAAACCAGCTCAATCGATCGGATCACCAGTGATTATGGAGAAATCGCTTGTTTTTATATGTGATTCCATCCAATATGCAAATGCATTCCAATATCAAGGGGTGATGACAAATAACACAAGTGCCGGTGATACGAAAAAAGTAGTTAAACCCCATTTTGTAGACGCATATCATCGACTTCACTAATATCACACAAATTAAAGAAATGAAAAGACGATGAAAGAAGTGGTATCGATATGGTGAACTTTTTGAACACACGTTTGTCTTGAACCAGTCATCAAAAATTTTACACATCGTCAATTTAATGGTCATCTTTTGGATGATAACATTATAATTTGAAATATATAAGGGTTATGTACTGGAAGGTTTTGGATATGGGGTTTATCCAGAGGGAGATATGCATATCTACCCGAGGGACCTTAGGGACCGAAGGTAGATGTGCATATCTCACGAGGGATGAACCCAATATCCAAACCGACCGTACATAATTGCTTTATCCTATACCACGTAGAGTTTTCAGGAGCAGATGGCCATTTCAATAGTACAAGGTGTAAAAATAAACAAATCATTCATATGCAAAGTCATTTTATTGCATTACCGGAAGCGGGAAGATATGCACCGAAGCGGGAGATACGGCGAGGGATATGGAGGTTCTGGATACGGAAACCTCAAAATCAGGATACGGGATATATCTTACCAACTTATCTCCCTAAAACTCTACTTGGAATAGGATAAATATATACAAACGAACGCATTTCGTTCGGATTTCTCACGAAGATACCGTATATGTCACGCATTTTACCTGAAATATCTCATACCTATCCTATTATATATATATATACACCTTTCTCTAAATTGTTTTAGAAAACACATCAGACACTTCTTTTGTTCTTGGTATCATATGTTCGGAATGAATTGAAACATCTATCCGAACCTCATCGGAACAAAACAACATAAAAACGTCGAAAAATATGTGTATTCGAATCGTTGAATAAATGAGTAACTTATCTTCTATATTTTATCATTTTATTTATCAGGGTGTTCCAAAAGTAACAGGACTGGTGCTGGCATTTTGTTAAATATGCACCAATCGTCTTCAAAATTTTACATAATGTACGTTCATGTATCGTTACTAAAACTGCAAAGTTTCGACAAAAAATATGTAACTCGGATAGAGTTATGGTTGCTATGGTAACATGACATCACAATACCCGGGGCAACTTTCCACGCAGAAAGTTACATTAAGACAGAAAGAGACATTAAGCATTTTGTACATCCCATATCAAAGTTAAAATGCAACAACTGGTGGGAATTACATTTGTTTTACATAATTTGATATTCCTATGTATCCTATGTACTTTGAAAAATAAGCTCCTCTTTGGTCAGTAGAAGAGTAGCACTCTGCATCCATGACTCAAACACATGATTGAACCCATTTGAGGTCCTTGGAGAAGGTCATTCTCATTTTTAAAGATCTTACAGCACTGATTAGCATTCCATTCTCCATATAAGTAAAAATTGGATGTTGCATGATCAGAAGAGTATGGTGCATGGTTTTAGAACTCAAGACCTAGCTCCTCTATAGCTGCATGGTCTTTAATGGTGACCTGCGGGCAGGCGTGTTATCAAGGTGGATGACTGGCTTCAAATTGGGTCTTTTCAAAAACTCAACCATGATTTGTTCAGACCGTAATTCATAGTGATATTCTAGGAAATTGAATAAATATAATTATAATGAGATTATACTTGAATCTGAGTTTTATAGCAACACCTTTACAACAAAGCAACAAAACAACTCAGAAAAAGTTGCCCCGGGTATTGTGATTTCATGTTACTATAGTAACCACAACTCTACCTGCATTTCATCATTTTTTCTGAAACTATACAATTTTAGTTGCAATACTTCAAAGTACAATTTGAAGACAATCGGTGCAAAATTGACAAAATGCCAGTACCAGTCCTGTTCCTTTTGGAACACCCTGTATATGGTTTCCTGAAAATATCAAGCTAGATAGAGCCACTCGTAGTATCAATGGAGATTCTCATGTTGAAATTATCGCCGTTTTCTAATGAAAAACTTTTTCAAATACCTATCTATATTGGAAAACGGTCCCGATTTTATCGTATGAAATCAGGGAAATACCACAAGACCGAGATTTTAATGTAATCGCATTAGATTTCCTAGGTTTACAGTATTTATCAAATATTTCAATCAGATCAATTAACCTTTCAAGATTACGAATGGAAGCATTTTGTCTGATATACCTTTCAATCAAGTCACGCCTGTCAGTCAATCCTTTAGAATTCTAACTTCTCTTAGTTATTGCTTGAATAGTTTAGATAATTGCATAGGTTTATAATCGAATCATGATGAAATAAGTAAAACGCAGGGCATGTCACTTTTATCTCCAATAAAACACACTCCAGTAACAATCTCTTGAATAAGCCCATTATCTTTTCTAGTATCTACTTTATCTTATATGCTTAAAAATTAGTGGAACTGTGTTGCCTTAGATAAGGTAGGTAAATTTATTTATGAGACCTGTAGATTTTCACATTTGCTTTACATGGAAAAACATTGACAACAATTTTCAGTGAATTGTTGTAAAAATTAAAGTGTGCGTCTCTTGGTCCATGAAAATGAGTAAACGGCTCGTGTGGCCAACACAAAGTTAACCTGAGAGTTGAGCAAAAGGGGGCAATTCTAGCAAAATCCGACAAAAAGTTATGTTCAGATGAATCGTTTTCCATCAAATTGATTTTGAAGATGTACAACTTTGTAAGATGTCCTTTGACCTCAAATGGCCTTCAATGAAAATAAAGACAGAAATGTCAATAACAGACGTTTTTTGCCTTCTAATTCAAACGAAGTCATAAACGTGATTCCTTTAATATCTAAGATGTTGATGCAATGTAGGTAAGACCACAGGCTCTCCACTGAACGGAACGCTGTATTTAACAATTCAAGATCTAGAAGATTTCATCCACCATAATCGAGAGTAATTCAAAAATTAAGAGGTTGCATTTTTGGATCAAGACGATATTAGATAATGAAAACAGAAAATCTGGAAACTACTACCTTAGACTACTGCAAGTACAGGGTGAGCCAAAAAGGTAGCCCAAACAGATTTTGATAACTCAGTCATCCAGTATGAGTTTAAATCATATTTGGTACAATTTAACCTTGTTATTTCAATTCATTAAGTTTTATTGGTCCACTCCAAATGGTTGAAGGATTTTATGACCAACACGCTCAAATGCCAGTCTTGTCTTGTGTCAAATTTGAACGCATCGGGTGAAGTTTTCTGACTACACGCTCACAGATATCTTGTGAAATGGCTCTCATTCTCCTTCTAATCTCTTGTTTCAACTTCCTTGTGGTTGTAGCTAGGGTTGCTAGTGTACACGTTAACTTTGAAATAGCACCAAAGATAAAATTATGGGGATTTAAATTGGGTGTTTGGGTATGCTTTCGGATTTGGAGCATGTTAAAATGGCCATAAATCGTGACCATTTATGTAGACCAATTAAACTGAAAAGAATGAAAGAACATTGAACGAGGTTCAATTGTGCCAAATATGACTTATAACCCATAATGGATGACTTAGTTATTTATTTGGCTCAACCTGTACTACAAACAGTCTTCTACAGACCATATCTCTGTAGTTTAAGTTATACCACCATTTATTCAACTATTAATTGAATGAAATATGGAGTAAGACCAGTGAATTTTAAGATATTGTGGAAACATTGAAATATTAAACAAAATCTGAAAATGTGCACATTTTTCAAAAAATCATTCTTCATTTCTTTGTGCGCGTATCAAATAAATGGGCTTTCCGTAGTCTGTTTGGTCTGTCACATCCTGTTCAGTTAATATCTTTTTAATTTATTGTTGGAGGATGAAGGTGAATATCAATATATACATGTAGTGTCTCCATCCCCATACGCCATCCTCGGATAAAGACTATACTTATTTTGTGATTTCTTTGGACTTCATTCATCGGCACATAGTGTTTAGGAGCGATTGAGACCCTATGCATCACTCTATGCAGACTGTGCTATACGAAAACAAGCGGTGTGGATATCATGTGCGCAAGGTGCGAGTATTAACGGTCATTTTTAGCTCACATGGTGAGCTATTGCAATCACTCACTTGTCCGTCTGTCTGTCCGTCTGACAACAATTGGCCTGTTTTAAAACCTCTGTCAATAGTTAGTTTAAGTTGTTTTTGTTCAACATCAATATAGAATGCCCCCTATGACTCCTGGTTCAAAAGCTCGCCTATTTTCAAAATGGCCGCCATTTTTGTCTCGCGAAATTCACTTTTGGACCATTTGCTTTAAAATCTCTGTCGATAGGATTCCTGTTTTAAGTTATTTTTGCTCAACATCAATACAGAAAACTCCCCTATGACTCCTGGCTCAAAAGCTCGCCTATTTTCAAAATGGTCGCCATTTTTGTCTTGTAGAATTCACTTTTGGCCCATTTCCTAGCTTTACAAATAATTTAAGATGTCCTATATTGTAAAAAGCCATGTCAATGTAAAGAGTAGTTGTGTAAAATAATTATGTTACAAAAAAATCGGCAAAAAATGATATCCGTTTTTTATTTTCAGCCATTTAAGTTTCGGTGTGATCATACCAATTTTTAATAGATAGACTTTTTGTCATCTACCTTTGCAAGAGCGCCTGGAGTAATCCCATCTAGAAAAGCAATTTGAGCTGCCATTTTGAATTTTAGTGTCAAGTACCAGGTCTGTCACAACAGTCAATACGAAGAAAAACATAAAAGCAATGTCTTAAAATACTTCAAAATTTCATCTTCTCATTCAACCGTTTCCCATCAAATACTTGGTTTTATTTTTCTAATAAAGATAATTCTAAATGAGTATATGACATTTACTATGGCATTATATTGATAGTTCTAAATCATAATTATGATGTTGATACAATGCCAGTATTTTTTATTTAATCCATATATAAATGATCGTATATGGCAAATGGGTACCTGATCTAGTCATTAGTGAGCTTTCTCAAAATAACATTGCAATAATGATACGCTGATTTTAGGATTAATATAAACGAGACAAATTAATCTTACTTAAGAAACAATAATATAATACATCATCAATTGTACCTCATTATATCCAAAGTTGATATATTACAAGAAACGGCGAAGGATGAATATGATAATTGAATAAACCCAGTTCTTACTGAACGTGAGGATAACCAGAACGTATAGACAGATGTGACAAAAGTTAAAGATATCAAAATAAATAGCTACGACCAGTAATGTATAGTGAACTTGTAATTGGCATTCTCATTATTGATTATAAATGAGAAATTAACGTGCATGGTTGCCGAATTAATTGAAACTATAAATCATGTACACACAGCTTGGAATACAATTAACTGTTTTCCCCTCAATACCATTGCATTCCATGTACAGATATATCATTTTCAAGTATTGTTATATATAATTTTTTATTCGTCAGTTATATTTCTGTCTGCTTTTCTCGTGTCAAGTTGTTGACTCCACCAGGGCCGCATTTCTTACACTTGATTAACTGTTCCATATTTTTCCAATATTTCACTTCAACGTTAAGAGAAAAACCAGAAACAGAAACGTGATTTAGCGTCATCTTGATTCACAAGGTTTCAATTGCTCCAACATCAACTATAACCACGTTGGAAGTCGAAGATGATTTAGCGTTCTCAAATAAAACTGTTTTTAATACATACGATCACAATTATCTCATTACTGCACACAAAACCTTGTTACATTTTCTACTTAATAACACATATGGCTTGAAAATTTGACCAGTACCAAATATAGGCCCATGAACATATATTGAAGCTATGGGTAACGTGGTCTAAAATAACACGATCAATAGGTACATGAAGCGTTCAAAATACTGAAATAAAATCTCAGAAATGAGATAACCTAACCTATCTACACAATAATGCTACATCAATGATCCTAAGGATCATTCACAAATGGCAAAGCAATTTGAATACGATTTGGATATCTGAACAAGACTACTTTATTATAAAGAGAAGCCTTAAATTGCAATTTTCTCTGGAATATTTATCAGGTTTACATCAGAAGCGAAAACTGTAAACGACAAGCTGACTATAAACTTTGAGTAAGGGGTGGTTTATAATTAAGCAGATGAGCGTCTTTCAAGTTGGATTAACTGCTTCTTAAGCAATATCTATAAATCTTGTTGGTGTTTTTCATTTATTGTTTCATCTTAACATTAGGAGGCATGTGCGGAACACTGGAGAATAATGATGATGGGATACGTCCAGACATTTTTCTTTACCTGTTTACTGAAACATATGTGCTAAAAGGGCAACAATACGGATTAGGAAGTAAACAAACGTTGAACTTTTTTTCTTATGAAGTTGTTTTCCTTTTTGTTCCAGATTTACGACATCACGAATCATGAAAGGACAAAAAAGAGCGCATAACTATTACAAGGAAGTACACAAGGGTAATACTTATTGGAATACAGTTGGAAAACACTAAGATAATTCAATTAGGAAGATTTACAAACTTCTACATTGCGTTTGGACTTAATTGTATTGGCACAAGTCGGAAATAGTGTTTTCATCATCAATTCAGCATTAATTTGAACAAACCGAGCCTGATGTCTTCATAGATTGTTACGCGTATTGCCCATTGCCCATGAGAACAAAAGAAATACTTCAAACAAATCAACGGAAAGACAAAGACACAACATGGTATATTGCATGTTTTTTCTAGAAGCGCAAATCAATAGGACAATTTGGATAAGTTAGACTAAAGATCCATGGGAATTGTAGTATACTAGCTACTAAAAGTTTATTGGTTGTAAATTTCAGATAAAGATTCCCCTGCAATGGATGGCGCGATGATGGAAAACCTCAAGACAACAACAGAGAACATTGAACTAGGCGGTATTGTGCTTCTTGGCAGTACAGAAACAAATGGGGTTTATAATATTTCCACTGTATTGAACAATTCAACAAATGGAACTATAGATGGATCACCCCAGCCATATTTGCTTACTTATTCTAAAGTTCTCTTCAGTGTCTTTTATATTGTTCTCATAATTGTGGCAGTGGGAGGCAATGCTATGGTATGCTATGTCGTTTGCCTTTATCCAAGTATGCACACGGCCACCAATTACTTTATTGTCAACCTGGCATGCAGCGATATTCTCACTGCTATATTATGTATCCCATTTACATTTATATCAACAGCTCTGATCCACCATTGGCCATTTGGATCCGTAATGTGCCCAGTGGTATTTACATCACAAGTTGCAGCTGTTTGTCTCAGCGCGTTCACCCTCGTGGCGATCAGTTTGGACCGATTCATCGCCATCATCTTCCCGATGAGGCCACGTATGACCACAAAGATTTCACTCGTGATTATAGCATTGATATGGCTATTCGCTATAGCTGTAGCGATGCCCAGTGCTATCGTTGCAAAGATAAAGCATGAGGAGGGTAAAGACTACTGTAGAGAGCAGTGGGACTACCCTCAACAACAACAATCATACAGCCTTGCGATACTGGTGCTGCAGTATTTCCTGCCACTGTTCCTGTTGGTCTTCACCTACAGTTGGATCGGCATCGTTGTGTGGAGAAAGAAAGCACCTGGTGAGGCGGAGGACGTTAGAGATCAGAGGATGCAGGCAGCCAAACGTAGGGTATGTTATCTTACGTGTCAAGATCACCCGTTTCATAGTTAAAGTGAACCAGTGCTTGGCAGAAAATAATCAATCGTTAATAAAGACAACTAATGTCAAATACAACTGATGCTCTTTGTCATGAAAACAATCAATTTAACATCATTAAGCATCGGGCTGTATAGTTTACCACTAGGTAATTCAGTTACTTGGTCCACGAAGCTTAAAAAGTACAACGTTAACGCAATCTGAAGTCCCATATAGTTTCTCCTTATTTGTTCTCATGCAGGTTTTAATATATTCACTAATGGCAGAGATAGTTAAACAACTAATCCATTTCTGTTTTAAATCTAAACTGAAATTCCCCTAAGAGCTACTGTGTAGAATAGCATCGTATCAATGCTCCACAACAGTCGTTTAGAGGATTACTTCGCTCTTTCGGGAAGACACATTATGTATAATAGGCCTCATCCATACAATCTCAACTTAAGCAATGCATAGTAATACCAAAATAATCTGGAAGCAATTCAATGAATTGTTAATATCCAGTTTTATTAAAAACTGTTAAGGTTAAGATTTTCTTTCTTTCGTGATTGGCGTCATCCAGTAAGCTTAATTATTGTATTGCTGTTATTTTCTTTGACGTCCCTTGCCACATTTAATAAAAGTTGTATTTCATCATGATTTTGTGATCCATTTGTATTCAGAAAATGATACTTGTCACTTAGTGAAAATTTACGAGGTAATACCAATCATTGTATATAGCTTTCCTTCTACATTTGATTAGGAGTTTGCACAGTGTACATTTAATAATTCAAATCAAGTACCGGAAAAGTGCCAACATGTCGTATCTTTTGATTCATTGGAAAAGTAAAACAGAATAGTACTTTTTATCCTAACCTGAAAATGAATATTTCATTTCATATTCATTATACAAACATAAATACCAGTAAATTATGTGCTTACATTGTGAGAAGTAATAGCGAGACAGTTTCCCCATTTCTCCAGAAATAAATCATTTGGTTACCAAAGGATAGCTCACCACACATATAAATGGTTGTATAAACTGATAAATCAAACGTTAGTTGTGTTAATTACAACTAATTTCATGCATGTTAAACACGTTAGAATGTGGGTGAACTAACATATGAATATGCCTCGCCAGCCATCTATATTCAATTCGTTTTTATTCATCATGTACTTTTAGATGATCAAGATGATGATAATGGTTGTTATCATGTATGGCTGCTGTTGGTTGCCCCTACATACGATCACCTTAATTGGAGAGAAAAGTCCGGGAATATGGCAAATAAAAAATATCAATGTGATATACATGGTATTTCACTGGATAGCCATGAGTAACAGCTGTTACAACCCCATGATTTACTTTTGGATGAACTCAAAATTTAGAAATGGTTTTCGCTATGCCATGCGGTGGTGTCCATTTGTTAAATTTGATCCTGATTGTGATGATATGCCAGGCCGAGGTCATGTCATGTCCTACGTGTCTCATAATAAGAAGGCGGCCTCCAACGAGAAGCACAATAAAAAGCACAAACACCAGCTTGAACGACAGTCCACGACTGTTAGTTACTGCACCCCTGAGCATGTACCGCTGCGACAGTTCGAATCAAATGGTAATGCTAATGAAGAAAATGCTTGAGGGATCCCCGAGCTGTCAGACAACCATGGAGAATTTCTGTTTTGAAGATCTAAACATTGATGGTATAACCTAAGTCGTATGCTTCTAAATCCACCTCAGACTACGCTTCAAAAGTTATAAATAAACGATTTCATAAAACATTTTTGATAACGATGTCCAAACGAGACCTGTCAGTCAGGGTATTAGTTTGGACTACTGAAAATATGAATTTGCCAGTTTTCTATCAGTATTCAATCTGTGAAAAGCAACATAAATCAATCGGAATTGCCATATGGATGAGACGTCACCAATAGCAAGTCACATTCAAGTATAAATGGATCTTGCTTTCTTTGATTAGTCTTTAAAAGTTAACACAAAACTGATAACTATAAACATTAAAAAATATTCCAAGTTGTGGTTAGCAAAACTCTTGGAGACTCAAAAATATTTGGAACTTTGGTGAATTTCACAGCATATGAATAATATAACATTCCTAGAATATACAAAGCGTTTCAAATTAAGTGAACACCCCGAATATGTATCGGTGCTTTTGCTTTGTACATTTGCAAAATGTTGTAACATCCCACCACGGATTTGTCTCTCATCAGTTCGGCCATCTCGCCCAAGCGGACAGTAAGATCTAAGAATACATTAATTTTAGCCCACGACCAGAACATGTTGACAGAACTGTTAGAGATCCAAACCTATTGACCTGTCCCATTTATTTAGTTGAAATATACATCAACAAATGTACTTTTGTTATGTTTTGTTTTGTAACAACATTTAAAGTACAACGTTTTGCAACACAATTTTCTGTCCCGTATTATTAAATTAATTCAAATAATATATATCAACCAAATATTGTTAATTTATGTAAATAAAATATAAAGTCTTTTAACTTCGTTTAAATGAACAGCATAATTGAATAACAACAGTACAATTATAACATGAAAAATTGAAAAATGTAAACAGATTGCTTCTGCAAGTACGGTAAAACCTGCCAGATCCAAATTCCCGGGTCCAAATGACACTGAAAACGATCAAAGATTGTCGGATTAACAGGAGTTCGCATGCAACATAGTTACTGTGACAATGAAATGAGTGTTAAATTAAAAAGCGATACTATGGATAAAAGAGGCATTCGAATTTATAAATTGACTAAGAAAATCGTTATTTTCAATCGTTCATCGGAAATACAACAATACTTACTGCTATTAGAATTATTTTAAAAGTTTACCCATTTGACCTATTTTTCTGGGCTGGAGTTACTTCGACAATTTCTGTGCACTTTTGAAAGATGCAATCACATCACATAAGCCTCTAAAATAAGAATAAGTATTTGAAGACTGTTCTAAGTTGACATTGTTGAAATAAATGTTATATCGTTGATGTAATACAACTGAACTGCCCCCGACATTTATGAATGGAGAAACAAAACACCATGCTGTCATAACTCCAGTGCAATTGAAAATATCGATCATCATAGTCTAGAGTATTAACATTGTCAAACGTTGTCAATTGCTGGTATTATATCTGAGCATCTGAAGTCAGGTGTTACAAACGTGTCACACATGAACACATACGCTCAAATATTTTGAAACGAATTTAAGCATGTATCAGGATATCAATTTCAAATAACAATGACACTTACTAAATATATTTCAATTTGTGAAACAGCAATGATAAGTATTGGAAGAAAATGGAAAGCGTTTTTTCTTTATTTATTGTATATATCTTCATTGACCATAATTGTGAAATTGATCACATTGGCGACTGATGATTATCACATTAGGTTTAAAAAGAAGCTAATGCAAGGAAACAATGGCGAACTTTTGTTTTCGTTTGGAGTGTTCACAGATGCTCAATATGCACAAACTGATAATCGGCTGAATTATTTAAAAAACAGAATGAGGTTTTATAACAACTCTTACCATCAACTACGAACTGCGTTGGACTTCTGGGCAGACCGTTCACCAACAGAGATTTCATTTATCATTAACATGGGGGATTTGCTAGATGCTATCAACAAGAATTTAGGAACTCAAGACACCAATCTTTTAAAACTTAAATCCCTTTTTGAGGAATACGATTTTAAATATTTCCACGTTCTTGGAAATCATGAATATATGAATTTTAACCGTACATTTCTCCTTAAAAGTTTCTTAAATTCAGCAAACGATAAGGATAGATTGTATTATTCATTTACGCCATATGGTGGATTTCGATTTATTGCCCTGGATAGTATGGAAATATCAGTGTTGGGCCACACCAATCTTACTGACCCAGGCTACATTCAAGCAAAAGATATTTTGAAAATTCAGAATCCTAATGGAGACTGGAATTCTATTGATGGTATGGAAGGTACGAATACGAGGTTTGTTAAAGGGAATGGCATGTTGACGGAGACACAGCTATCCTGGTTGAATGAAACCCTGCATACAGCCACTCAGAACAACGAGATAGTAATGATATTCAGTAAGCAAAAAATATAGAATCATGCTTCTTGATTTTGCTATCACCACAAACTCGGGTGATGGCAATATCACCACAAACTCGGCAAGCAATATCACCACAAACTCGGGTGATAGCAATACCACCACAAACTCGAGTAATAGCAATATCACCACAAACCCAGGTGATAGCAATATCGCTACAAAGTCGGGTGATAACAATATCACCACAAACCCGGGTGACAGCAATATCACCACTAACTCGGGTGATGGCAATATCACCACAAACTCGGGTAATAGTAATATCACCACAAACTCGGGTGAGCAATATCACTACAAACTCAGGTGATAGCAATATCACTTTAAACTCGGGTGACAGCAATATCACCACAAACTCAGGTGATAGCAATATCACTTTAAACTCGGGTGACAGCAATATCACCACAAACTCGGGTGATAGCAATATCACCATAAACTCGGGTGATATCAATATCACCACAAACTCGGGTGACAAACTCAGGTGATAGCAATATCACTTTAAACTCGGGTGATAGCAATATCACTACAAACTAAGGTGATAGCAATATCACCACAATCTCGGGTAATAGCAATATGACCACAAACTCGGGTGATAACAATATCACCTCAAAGTAAAACTGAAAAATATTCATGCGATTTATAACAATTAAGTATTTTAACACCAAAAATCATTTGACCTTGAAATTATTTTAAAGATTTGCAGATTGCAGATATTTTATGTTTTATTTTATGTTTTCACATATATTTTAGGTCATCATATTATCCACCCAGATGCTGGAGACAAAAGGGGTCTATGCTGGAACTACAACGAGGTTCTTAAGATTATAGACTTGTATGATTCTGTCGTATTACACATGGCTGGACACTGTCATGTCGGTGGATTTACACGTGACCATGGCGTCACTCATGTTGTTTTTCAAGCTATTGTGGAAACACCATTGAATATGTCGGACTTCGCCACAGTGGATGTTTATGATGATCACATTGAAATAATAGGGTCGTCATCCAGAGTGCCTGATAGATATATCAAGTTCTGATGAAAGAAACTAGAAAGCCAATAATGTAGAAAGTTTAACATCAATCCTCTCAAGGAGAGTGTCCGAGAGACCTTCGATAGCATCAATGTCAGAAAAATTAATTGGTCGAGGAATGTCAGATTCAGTATTTCCAAGACTATTCAATTGATATTCTGATCTGTCAGATATTCCCACATGGATTTTACACGCATATCATACAATCTTCTTATGCTGCCACTTTAAAGCTTTGCTTGGTACTATGAAGGCGGTCATATATATCCAAAATTCTGGTACATTTCACGCTCCTATACACTGCCGGGTAAGCACGGTCAAGCGGGACACTTACTCCACTTGCGGATCTGGGGGGGGGGGGGGCTCCCCCCTTTGGGTGGCATTATTTTTTATAAGAAAATTGGCCTGAAAATTTCAAAATTTGGCCCAATATTTTTTTCCGCGCAAGCGTGGAACTTTTTTTCTCTGACCGGAAATTTGCCCCCCCCCCCCCTTGAATCCCAGATCCGCCCCTGTACCCCTACGTGTACATGTACAGAGTGACAAAAAATACCAGCCACTAATTTTGGGTTATTTTTCTCAATAATTCAGGAATCTTCATGATTTTTATAGAGTTTATCTCCTTTATCCTTCAAAAGATGGTATTTAAAGAGTAGATGCTTTGTAGTTTGTTGTTTAGATCCACTGATGCATTTGGGATTATCGAAGCTCTGAAAAATGTGTTGGAAAAGAAAAATGCTAATTACTAATAATGCTGCTCTTTAATGAACTTGGATGGTTCATTTTCACAATATAATACTCGTACTTTGTAGATTTTCCGAATAATTTACTTCCCTCATTCCCTATTTGGGTGAATCTTAATCTCACAAGTTAAGTTTCAATGGATTTAACTTACCTTCTTCTAAGGCCACTATATATCGTGTTGTAATGATTTTCAACCCCTTCCACCCCTGCTTTTTCGATTATTGTTGCATCAATATGTTGTGTTTTGGCACGCAGTTAACCCCTTTAAAGGAATAAGTAATTCCTTTAGATAAAGTGGAAAACAATATTTCCCATGTTATTTTGCCATAGGGAAAACCCATGCGATCCATTGCTTTCAGCTTAATGTTGGTCACCCATGATGGGAATTTTTAAAATCCCTGAAGGAATTACTTATTCCTTTAAAGGGATTAACTGTGTGTCAAAATGCAACATATTGATGAAAACAAAAATTTAAAAAGCAGGCATGGAAGGGGTTGAAAATCAGGACAACATTTCAGAAAATATATGGGTGGGTTGTTTGCACCTTCCCTGTCTCAAAGTCGAAATTATTTTATCATCTCTATGAGTGCTTTTCCTTGAGATAATGCATTGACCTAACATATGCACCAGTGTAAACCCTCAGAAAATATAACTGTCCGAAATCTGTTGCGATACTTTCCCCTCTCCTTTAGTAAAATCAATATTTTAAATATTCTTTGATATCAACTAAAAATGCTTTTGATAGCTTATAAAATGTAGAGCCAATTGATCGTGCCCCCAATGAAAAGATGCATCATCCCCCAAGATCTAACGTGTTTTGTTAAAATTAAAGTTGCAAAACACTGTTAACAATGACATCCGGGCATTCTTATAAACTTTCAAAAATATACTCCGTTGTGTTGCTGTGGATGGAGTAAATAAGCTGTGTTCAAGGGTATCTCTTTCTGAGAGACAAGTATTACAAAACCAATCTGACAACCCCCTCCTTTCAAGATCAGAATTCAAACCCAATGATTTAGCGCGAGCTCTGAATTTGATTTGCTGAATGTAAAAGTCCATGTCTGTCTAATCGCATATCGATTCTTACCCATTGTTCATTTGAAATATTTAAATAAGATGTGATTAAATTTAATAGATTATTAGGTGTACGGTGTCACTATTAACTAATTTGAAGCGAAAACTATGATACATGTAGGTTTGATTGTGGCTTTCAAAAATTAATATGAGGAGTACATAAAGGATTTCATGTTTGATTTCGTGTGTATTCGATAAGGAAGAGATTTACCTTTCTAATTACGTTAAAAGATGTAATTAGGGGGTAAAAATGTTTTTTTTTACACATTTCCTTGGATCATTTTCTCCCCTGTCGTCGTCAAAGAGTGCCGAATATTTTTATTAACTACACAATCTAAGACGGTTGAAGGTTTTATAAATATTCATGTATTTGGTATAATTTAAAAAATCAAAAATGTACGTTGTCATCTCCAATGTACGTTGTCCCTGTAATTGAAATGTAAACAATATAATTGAAACCAAAGCAATGATCTAATTTCAAAACGCATTATGCATAACAAGTGATGTTCAACGAACATGCTCATGTATCCCTGGCCCAGATAAAAAGGTAAAAGTGATTTTTACCTCTTGTTGAATGCTATTTTATTTTATGAAAGTGTTAATATGGCGATTAATATTTTACCACGGGGTGCTATCTTCCAACCTCTTTGACCTCTTTCCAATCAAGTTGAATTAGTAATACTGGATTGTTTCGTTTCAGTTTTAAATGAATCTGATCCCCCTGTAGTCTAGAAGAAAGCCAAGAGGGGGTTGTTTTGGAGTATATACAATGTTTTATTGCATAATATGTTGGTCTCATGTGTTCTGATGAAGATTTGACAAATATGCAGTAATGTTACCTTGAGAAATTTTTTCTGCAAGGTCAGCAGAATTTTCAATATTCCATAAGTAGGGATTTTAAAAATCTAGTTTGTTTTAAGAACTTGTATACTTGCTTTTACATGGTTTTAGTGATTTCATGTCACATTTACATGACTAACTTTGAACTGAACCTTGAAACAAATAAAAATTAATGCCGTAATTAAGTGCTGAGTCAGCGGTTTTAGTTGTTTTCTAATTTTCAATTGATTTTACATATCTAATCAATTTACAACCATATATTTGGACTTGAATGGTCAAAACTTAATCTTTTAAAGAACAAGGTTACTCTTTTAACTAAGATCTCAAGCAAAGTAGTCTTAAGCTTTGAATATTGCTAATTGTAACAATAGCAGGAAGGTTAATATAAACAATTGAAATCTTATATGCAAAATATGGATTTATTAGCGTATTATCTCATTTGTAATTGGCCCTAGAAGCTCTAAGGGGAGGGGGTGTACAAAAGGCCATCACAGTTAAGGTTTTCTCTAAAACCTTTTAAAGGCATCAGGTAGAATCTTCAAATTCTCAGTAGCTGGGGCTAGAGATAAAACAAATATATAACGAAAAAATCAGCAGAATTGTATGTAGGGTAATTAATTTATTATGATGTGATCATCAGCTCCAAGAGGCAAAACCTTATTATATAAACTGAGAATCACTAATTCTACCACATTCAAACCAGACAAATAAACAATCTTAGATCTAGGGTCAGACCTGTGGGACACTTTACCTCATAAAATTACTCATTCTTATACTAATCTAATATTTAATGTTGATTTTTAGTTCTAGTGAGCACTTATTTCTTCTAATACTCTTTCCACCTTCAAAAATAATTTAAAATTACACTTGCTCAACAATTAACATAATTTCTTAAAGAAAGAATCAGATCTAGCGAGCAGCCTAACAAAAAAATTCAATTTTAGAATATTTCTGGCTTATGTCATTCCTTTTCATGTCTATTTTCTAAAAATCCCAAAAGTGTACACTTTATTTTAGAAAAACTAAAGATTTTTATTATTATTCTATAAGAATTGTGACCATTCTTATTATTTGGGAGAATTTAAACATTTTTCACCCATTTTTTCACTTTACCGATTTATTATTGTGAATCTTTTGGGAGATTGTATTTGAGATTGTAAGGAATAGATTGGTAGGTCAATTATACATGTTACTTGTAATTTTGTCACCCCCATAGATCCGATTCTGCCTTAAATCAAGGTCTAACTTTTCTGGAGAAAAATCTCTGGAGTAAAAAATTCACTTTTATAGCGTGGGTAGAAGAGGATGGAGGATGGGACCAACAGAATGTGAAATATTTAGTGTTGATTTTTAATTCTAATTAGCACTTATTTCTTGTATGAGTTTTGCTACTTGTAAATATTTTTTGCTTAGTATAAAATGGATCATATGCCCCTTGGGGTGTCTTCGACTGTTGTGATTGTATTTGTATTATTTGGAATTTAGGAAATAAATAAAAAATAAAACATGTTGTCTTGAGAATACAATTACACAATCTTAAATCATCAAAGCAGTAAAAGTTATTACACCATATAGTAAAAGTAGATAATTGAATGAAGTGTATTTGAGGAAAGTTTGAACATCCTACCTTTACTGATAAAGATTCTAGAAGTGGGGGGGGGGAGTTTGTGGGATATGGCATCTGTGAGGTGCATTGTTCTACTTGCATGTAGCAGAAATGAAGGCACGGGAAACTGAATGCATGAATCCTACCAGTGTGCGCTAAATGATCAAGGAGGATTGGCTCCCAGAGTGCAACACCGATATTCTGTCTCATATATGGGCATGTGGTGATACTAAATTATGGTGGCATTGTCATTCGAAGATCAAAGAATCACAAAGTCAGTTGTGTTTCCATAGATTAAGCGCTCAAAAACTATTAACAAAGATCACAAGACATCCCGTGGACTCCTTGGTTCTATGAGATGGGAAGGCGCCCTGCCCTTATTAGATGGTTTGTGCCCAAAATGTAACAGCAAAATATGCAGAGAGTAAGAAACATGTCACTGTCCGTAGCCAACGGGGGTTTGAGGGGTTCGTGCGAACCCCCTGTCAAAAGTCAAA